GATTGGTAGGTGCAGCGTCGGGCGGGTGATACGCCATGAGATCACCAACATTGAAAGTAGTCGAAGTGTTGTAGTGACTAGGGAGATCCACGACATATGCGTTCGGATTGATTTGCTTGAGAACAGCGAATGGACCAACCTTCCGTTGGCTTAATTTCGAGTAAGCACCCTGTGGAAATCGCTCACGACGCAGGCGGACCATGACTAAGTCGCCTGGACTGAACTTCCATTCTTTTCGGTGCCGATCAGCAGCCTCTTTGTATTTAGCATTGGACTTTGTAAGTTGTTGGCGGACCTCCAGTAACATGGTAGCGAATTGTTCAGCAAAATCAGTAGCACGCTGGCTGCTACATTTAGGGAGAACCGCGATGTCAACAGTGTGATTCGGCTGCTTCGTGTACACTATACTGAACGGAATTCGGCCAGTGGACCGATTGGTCATACTGTTATAAGCGAACTCGGCTTGTCCCAATATTTCGTCCCAAATTTTTGGGTGTTCCTGTACCACACAGCGTAACATATTCCCCAATGTTCGATTTACGACCTCGGTTTGCCCATCCGTTTGAGGATGATAGGCGGAGCTGAGCTTGATTTCCGTTTGAAGTCGCTTCCATAATTCTTTCCAAAAGTGGCTAATAACTTGACGTCGCGATCAGAAGTCAAACTTCTGGGTAGCCCATGAAGCCGCACAATTTCGGCGAAGAAGAGTCGAGCAACATTCAACGCGTCGAACGTCTTCTTACACGCCACAAAATGAGCCATTTTGGAAAAGCGATCAACAACAACCATAATCGAATCGTGGCCTCGCTTGGTACGTGGTAAACCCATTACGAAGTCCATGTTTAAATCTTCCCAAATGGTTTCGGGTGTGGGCAGAGGTAGATACAGCCCTTGTAGATTTCCTCCAGTTTTGTAGCTCTGGCACACAGGACACCGCTCCACAAATCTCATAACATCTCGATGCAAATGTGGCCAAAAAAATCTGTCCTGCAATTGTAAGTAAGTATTGTTTCGCCCCACATGTGCAACTAACCCGCCTGAGTGGACTTCCTTGATGAGTTGCGGCCTCCAGGAGGATTCGGGGATGCAGAGCTGATTAAATCGGAATAAAAACCCATGTCTGAGGGAAAATTCTTTGGCTTGGTCGCTGTTTATACAATCCGCCCAGATTTTTCCAAAATCTTGGTCCGTGGCGTACAACTCTTTCAAGCAGTCCAGTCCTGTAATTTCGGTTTGCAATTGCGTGAGAAGGACACTACGCCGGCTAAGGGCGTCAGCCACCTTGTTCTGTGCACCGTATTTGTGCCTTAAAACGAAATTGAATCGTTGTAAGAACAGAACCCATTGGGCGTGCATACGATTGATATGCTTTTGGCTGTTAATGAATTGCAAAGCTCGGTGATCTCTGCACAAAATGAATTCCTGATGCAAGAGATACGGCTCCCACTGCTTAAGGGCTCGCACGGCAGCATATAATTCTTGTTCATATACACTCCATTTTTGCCGAGAGGGGCAAAATTTCTCGCTGAAGAATTCAACTGGTCGGTTGTCTTGGCTTAAAACAGTGCCGATGCCAATGCCCGATGCATCCGTGTCAATGTGAAATGGCTTGTCAAAATTTGGCAAGGCCAACACAGGGGCGGTCGACAATGCTAGTTTGATGGCTTCGAAGCTGTGTTGTTGATCGTCTCCCCAATAGAACTGCTTCAGTTTGAGACAGTCCGTAATAGGTGCCATAACCGTGCTGAAATCTTTTATGAATCGACGATAAAAGTTAGCAATCCCATGGAAACTGCGTATATAAGTGAAGGATCTGGGAATGGGCCACTGCGTGATAGCGTCTACTTTGCGGCTGTCCACTTCCACTCCTGTAGATGACACTACAAAGCCAAGAAAGTAGACAGCAGAAGCAGCGAATTGGCACTTACTTGGGTTCAGATAGAGCTGATTTTCCCAGAGTACAGTGAGAATTTTTTTTAGATGCTCCAAGTGATCGTCCACGGAGGTACTAAATACAAGAATGTCATCAAAGTAGACGACACAACAATCATTGATGAATGGCTTGAGAACCTTTGTCATTAATCGCATGAAGGTGGACGGTGCATTGCATAGCCCAAAGGGCATGACCCTCCATTCATACAAACCTTGTCGTGTCTTGAAGGCCGTCTTTCACTCGTCACCCGGACGGATCCGTATTTGATGATACCAACTTCAAAGATCTAGTTTGGAGAAAATGGTGGCGCCGGAAAGTTTCTCTAACAGCTCCTCCACACGGGGCACCAGAAATCTATACTTAACGGTAATTTTGTTGATGGCCCGACTATCCATACATAATCGCCACGTGCCGTCTTTCTTGGGGACTAAGAGAGTCGGAACCGCACAAGGACTTAGGCTTTGTTGAATCAGATTGAGCTTTAACAGCTCATCCACCAACTGCTGTAACACTTGATGTTCCATGGGGCTTAATCTGTGATGGGGGAAATTTGGCAGCGATGAACCCGGTATTTAGTCAATCTGGTGTTGTAAGGTTCTTAAAGGAGGTAGAGTAGCTATCGTTGGCTCAGTTAAAACATCCTGAAATTGATTCAGCAGGTGTTTGATAGCTTGCGACCCTTGTTCAACGACAAGTTCTGGAGCTTGTTCAACGACAAGTTCTGGAGCTGATTCACGGACTACCAGGGAAAATAACATAGACCTCTCCTGATAAGTAGAGAGTAGACCGTTGCCTGTAACAAAATGCAAGGCAGGTGGTACTGCACCTGTCTTTCCTCCCTGATCGGTTGAGTGAGGCAGTAACCAAAGCCGCTTGCCTTTCCATTCTAATGAATAAGTATTAGCACGCCCATCATGAGTTTCAACCACATTGAATTGCCACGGACGGCCTAATATTAGGTGACACACATCCATGTCGACCACATCACACAGCACCTCACACGAGTAGTGTTTTCCTATGGAAAACTGAATCCGGCACATGTCAGTCACCATGATCTCCATACCTTTTTTGACCCAGCTGATCTTGTATGGTTGGGGGTTCTTTGTGGTCTTAAGTTGTAATGCTTGAACAACGGCACGAGAAACCACATTTTCTGTGCATCCGTTGTCGATGAGCAAATCGCATGCCTTTCCTCCTATGGTGCACTTGGTTTTAAAAAGTGAGTGCCGCTGTGAATTAGTTTGCTTCTTTGGGGCCAGTAATAATTTTTCGAGAACACAAACTAGCGGCTCCCTGTCATCAGCTATGACATCTTCAACATCCGTGTGATTCTCTTCCCCGAGAAGATTCTGGTCCAATTCTCCTTCTCCTTCCCCATCAAGTACTTGTAATTGCTGCCGATTAGGACATTCGTTGGACTTGTGTCCTGGATGGAAACACCTGAAGCATTTTAGTCCTTGTGGCCGTGGATAGAGATTTTCTCTGGGAGGACCTTTCGGTTTTACAGGGACTCGAGGATCAGAACTCTGCTTTGCGGAGTTTGCTGGCCTGCTGTTATCCGCCATTGGGGTATTTTTGCGAATGATGGTTCCTGGAGGTTTCAAAGTGTCCAGCCCCGTATCTACTACCGCTCTTCTGTGTGTGTTGCTCCGCCAATGTCGTGCCTGCTGAGTCTCTGCTTTAAGTGCAAAAGTAACGGCCTGGGAGAGTGACCATACTGAGTTCATCTCCAATTTATCTTGAATACTGTCTTTCAAGCCCCCAATATACCGGGCGACCAGCTGATTGGTGTTTTCATTCAGGTCATTCCGAGCCGACAAGCTATAGAACTCTTCCGTATACTCGCTAACGGATTGGCTACTGCAGTGTTGGTATTTCAGGTACAACAATTGTTCATAGTCGGTGGGGAGGAAATGCCCGCGCAGAAGTTGCTTCATTTGTATCCAGCTACGAACCGGCCCGCGTCCTTCTCGTCGCCGCGATTGAAGTAACTGCGACCACCAGGCACTCGCTCCACCTTTGAGTCTGCAGGCGACATACTTGACTTGTTTCTCCGGCTCGATCTCCATCTAATCAAAAAAATTCTCAACAGAACGTTCCCAATCTAAGAAATCCTCAATATGCAACTCCCTTCGAAGAAAGGAATGTCCAACTTAACTCGGAATTCCCCTTGGTGTCGGTCACGCCCCAGGTACCGGCGTGGTCGCCGCTCCACCATTTCAGCATCGGAATCCGACAATCCCGTGGGCTGATTGGTTGCGAAATCCTCTTATGAATCTGAGAAATCGGCAATGACGGCTGCGCGTTGTTGGCCCCTACGTTGAAAGCCTCTGTTCGCATCTACAGAGGTATTCATGATTGGAGCGGGTCTGCCTACTCTTAATGGGGCTTCGCCAGTTCTGGCGATTGTTGGCTCAAGGCGGCTGTGAGGCGATCGACCGCAGCGACCAAGTCGTACAAACGTTTCTCTACTCCAGCGTGCGTAGCCCAAAGTGCCTCCAAACTTCGGTCATCACCGCTCGTCGCACGCTTGCTGGACTCTGCCATCTTACCGAGCCACTGGCTCTAATACTAATCTGATGAGGTATGCGGCGGAAGAAGCAGGTTCACAAGGTAGTTCACTACGAACGAAGGCAAGATAACAAAAATGGCGAAGGCCAGGAATACTATTTCATTAGCTGTATTGCTCATCTTCTCCGGGAGAAGAAATACAAAATGGCTACTACTAAAAATAGCTAAAGGCTAAAAGGAAGAGCCTGCACATATAACTAAATAAAGCAACTAAATAGTGGAGCAGCTGGTAAAATAACAGAAAGCTGCAGGAAATATTCTAGTAAGGAAAACAAAAGGATAGTGTGCACCAGGCCGACGTGGTGCCGCCACAGTGATGCTCCGCATCAATAATAATCTAATTTGTAAAAAGAAAAATAATTTCCTCTTGGAAGTAATGTACACACACATAATAAAATAAATTATTATTTTTAGTAGTACTATTTTCAATGAGAATGAGACATTTTCCGAAAGATTGCGTCTTAGATTTGCCCTTTTTGTCTTTATTTCTGTGTAGGTGATGGTACTGTTCCTCTGATGTTGTCACTTGGCCTTATTACTGTAAGATCCTATTTTCTCGCATCTTTTCAATTAAAACTTGTTTTAAATCTTTTTAGCTTAGTTTATATTAATTTCTTAATAGTCCTCCCCTCATTTGCAATACTATATATATATGCTTATATTTATATAATGTTTTTTTCATACAGACCTTAACTGAAGGGTTTGCAATGATTGGTCGAATGGGAAAGGCAAGAAAATCTATGCTCCTTTATCTAATGCATTTCCAATGCTAATCCAGCACTAATGTCTTACAATGCGAAATGAGATTATGCGTTATATGAATTTATCAAATAATATCCTCACCAAATTCTTAAATGGATTCACAGGGATCATCATACAGTCCATCAAGACTCCCACCAATGCCGCTTGAATTATGGGCATATGAGGTATTTCTACCAGAGTAGCATGCACATCATCCATTTCTGCTCCTACAGTCCTTTTTTTAGTAAATTATGTTTTGCTCGTTGCAGCCTTCTCCATTTTGTAAAATTGTGCGAGAAGTGCTCGTTGAGTTAGAATTACCTCATTTGTTGCACAGGTACAGATATTTTGCACAATTATCTACACTTTATATGTTCATCTACAGTCTATTCAAGTCCCTTTTGATTTTTGTTTAAATGGGAACTTAGATGATTTTGTTATTTGTCATATCGGTTTTACTTTTGGAATCTTTTAGGCCTAAACTGATTAGGCGTTTTTTGTACTTATTCCTTTTTAAAACGGTAAAGTTATTTCTTCTTTATTGTTTGGTTCCTCAAACCACGTTTCCAATAACACTATTTTTTTCATTTTTCTGTGTTTTGAGAAAGCTTTTTATATGTACTTTCTAAGTTAGAAAACTCCTTTTTCTGAACTAATGTTTCTTAAAACGGCCTTTTACAAAAGTACCAAATAACCAAACGAAACCGTAATAAGAAAGTAACATGAAAAATAGAAATAAAATTTAGACAAGATCACGATTATAATACTACACTTAATAACTAGTTTAAGTTGGGTTGTATAAGTAGTTATAGCCAAGAAAACCTGAACCTTTTGTGCTGATGGCTGTTTCATGGAGAAACTGTGGACCCATGATAGCACAAGAACACAAGAAAAGGATGATATCCATGTTGGGTAAGGAATTATGTAGCTAAACGCTCATCTCTTCCCGTTTAATTAATGGATCAGGTTTTTTGATCCAGGTTTATGTGCATTCCAACAAAAAAATTCCTCTCATTAGAGCCCTATGACATGGGCATTGACTATTGTTGTATGCCAAAAATAAGTTTGAACCAATTGAGTTTCTGGAGAGACGCCATCTCTAATATGGGTTCTTTTCTGCACATATCGCCAAAAAATTTGAGCCCCACGCCAAAGAATTCTTGCTTGGGAAGATACTTTAATATTTAAATTAGTCAATGAACAGAAGGACCTTAAAATAGCCCGACAAGGATTCTCTAAGGAAAAGAGCAAAGTATATAGAAACAGAGAAACCTTGACATACCCTCTGGAGGTATTTATAGTGCCTAGAGGAAAGGTACTTTTGTATCTTAAAAACTTGTGTGGTTAATGATTGAACATCTCATCCTTAAGCTGTGTTGGATTAAAATGCCCCTTGAATAAGTGTACTTTGATCCACAGAGCAATTGAATGGCGGAAAATCATATCATATTGCCCTTAAGATTCATTTCTAATAGCCATGCTCCTAGATAACATATACATTGATGGATACCTTATAACATCCCATAATATCCCTTAACAATACATGGAGTATTACTAATATAAACATTTCATTATTTTTTCATACGATACTTTTGAACATTTAAAAATCTTTATAAAACATCCAACAGTTCTCATTCATCTCATCAAACGGAAGCAACTAATAATTTTAAATTTCTACATGAGATACTTACATAGCCACTACACAAATTCAAAGTAATACATCATTGCGATTTACATACCTCAAGTTTATACTTCAAACAAAGATAAATATTAATGTAACAAAACATATGGAATACTTGTCAATTTAATCTGCTATAATCTTCTCCTTTCCCTTTTCTGTAACAACAGGCAGTAAGAAATATACTGGTGAGCTATGAGGCTCAATAAGTTATGCTATTTTAAATAACATTTAAACTTGCATGATAAAAATTTCAAAACATTAAAAACATAAATAAATGTTAAACTATCTGAGAAAACTTAATAAAATCTCATTTGACATTAACCTTTATTAAAATCTCATTCTCTTAAATTCATACTGAATATCAATTTTACTCATTAAAAGATTTGGCTACTATTTCATAAACATATTCAATGGAGCCCAGATAAACCTGACATTATCGTTATTGAATTACATAGAGGTCCTTTTACCTCTTTAGGAGTCTCTTTTGCCTCACATGCTATGCAGGTCTCATTTCTTTGGGGTCCTTTTTGCCCACCTGTTATGCAAGTCTTATTTCTTTGGGGTTTCTTTTGTCCTACTAATAATGTAGTCTCATATTTGAGAACCATTTTGTCCCGACTACACTTGTAAGTCATACATCATATATAGTCAAACTTTATTTTAAATTGATATTCAATATACTTTATATTTTTATATTTCATACTTTTCACATGCTTCCATAATTATTCATATTATCATCTGTATGCTATAAATATACATATAATAAGTAAAGAAAAAGACCTATTTTCAAAATATTTTCAATAAGGAAAACATTTAAATAAACATAATAAACTTTGATTTAAACCCACATAGTTAATTTATGTAAGCGGTTAATCATACTTGGAAACTTATAGGTATATTCCTTTTTTAAGTCTTTCACAAAAGGTTGATTAAACATGCCTAATATTGAATTATCTACTTTCATGACTACTTTTTCAAAGTGTCATTAAAATCATTGTATATATCTAATGATAATTTATACTTCTTTAAAAAAAAAAAACACTTACATTACTTACTTCTTTGCCAAAGAGTCTCCTCCAATCCTCTACTTAGTATTCTCCTATGATTGTAAGTCACATACAAGTCATCACTCTACTTTTTAATTACTAAAATTTAGTACTATAATAAATTGCATAAAAAATCAATTTCTACATAGATATAGTCATTTGCCTCGTAATCTTTCCTATGCATATAACCAAATGAATCTATTTCCTTCTTTTATCTATTGTTCTTTCTTTCCACTTTATCTTTCTACTGCTCCAAAAGCACTACCCAAAATTATTGATTTTTAAATTAAATTGCACACTTGTATCAATCCAATTCATTACTTAAAGTCCAATAATCAAATTCATAACCTTGCTATGATTTTCTCAAAATTACCTTTCAACCTTTGCCTCCTAGAATGTGCCGAATACTTCTCCAAACTTTCCCTTGCAAGAGTGTTTGAAAACACTATGTTGAATTTCTGCTTCACTGCCGCAATTCCCCTTGAGCCGAATGCAGCAAATTAGCCAGAATTCATTGTAGCGAATTCTGCTACAGTTCCTAAGGATTTTCCTTCAGCCGCACTCATAAAGCAATTTCCTGTACTGAACTGCTCTTCCTGGCACAACACTGAACCGTAATCCTCTCTAGCAATTCACTGCCGCTCCCTTCAACAGTACCCAGAATCTGCACCTCCCCGAATATTTCCCTTCTTTAGCCTTCCGTTCTTCAGTTCACTATTTCCTTTATCTGTTCGAAGGCTGGCATGAAATCCAATCGGAATATAGAGGCCCACATCCGTAAATAAATTTCTAATTCCTTCCCAACTCTCTGATGGAAAAATCACAGCCATTGCATGCAATAACTGACCCTTCTCAACAGCAGCATGAGATATGCAAGGGAAACAAACAACAAACAACATTCTTAATTGGCTACGGTTTCAACACTTATGTCCTTTTTATTTCCTCACACCTGATACATGCATTAACTAGTGCAATGATTAGTGAAACTCAATATTTCAATAATGTAATTATTAACGTTGTAGTGATCTATGAAGTAGGGAATTTAATAAGTTTACTTTACAGTAATTTAATTATTAACGGAAATTCAACTGTTAAGAAATAATCCAAATAAAAAAATTTCTCTTTTACCTAAATTTTATGATATTACATACCTCTAGCTCCTAGATTAGTGCATAAGAGATCTAGATTGAATTGTTGGATCTATGCTGATTTCTTTGAGAATTGTACTTAATATTTTAAATGTAACAAAATTATTTACACTCACCTTGATATAATATGAAGTTTTTTAAGTTGAAGAGATCATCATGCATTTGCCCATTATCACATGTAGATTAATAAAGCATCCATCTTTATATTTTGATCGAATGGTTATGATTAGTTAGGAGATAACTAATTAGGAGAAATGAACTTTTTACAGACATGTTAGTTGTCTCTTATTTTTTGGTCATTTATAATATCCATGTTCTGACAAAAATGGACTAATATACTTTTGTTTCTTTACCCGTTAAAAAAATCCGTGTCTTATTGCATAGATTTGTTTCAGTGAAGTAGTTGGAATCTTCTTAGATCTGTGCGATTGATCATGGACCTAAATGAAATGTTGTTGCTCAATCATCTTATAGAGCATAATACTTGCTTGAAAATAGCTTGGTTCAACCAAAGCTCAACTCACCATATAAATAAGCATGTAATAACGTTGTGATAGGTAGGTATAGGTACTACTAAACATGCATAAATGTGTTTAATGTCAATTTAAAATGTGTCTAATATATTTAATATTGATAAAAATGTTTTAATAAATTCCTAATCAATTGTGGTTTTATTCGGTATCTTGCACTTTACTAAATCAAGAAATGATTTTATGCTCTCTCTTTAAAGTTCTAATGAATAATTAAAGAAGACATAGTAGAGTTAAATAAAACCGTATCAAGTTATATAACAAAATAATTTTGCATTATGAAATCGTCTATATGATTACTTAATTCTACTTATTCATCTCGAAGCAAAGATTATCATTACTTGGAACATTACTATTTTAAGTAATATAAATGGTTGAAGGAAGAAATGAGGTTCATGAGGTCATGGTTTATCATGTTTGCATATGCTTTTTTTTTTGCATGTCGACATGCAACTATCTACATATATGCAAAGATAATGATTAGGAGGTAATGTATAATTGGGTGATGCATAGTGGTGTGTTAGGTAGGGGTGTAAACGAGTCGAGTCGAGTCGAGTTTAGACCCTTATCGAGCTCAACTCTTTAGCTGGAAAGCTAGCTCGAGCTCGACAGGTGATGCAATAAAAAAATATAGGGGACCCTATATTTTTTTATCACAAAAAGATAACTCTTCTAGGAACAAAATAAAAACATAAAATGCTTAAAACAAACTTTAATATTATAAAAATGAAAGACTTACAAACTTTGACTTTTTGGAATCCCAAGGGACAAACTCAACTTTTAAAACTATAAATAAAAGTTACATAAATAAGACAATTAATGATCTAAAACCTAGCTAATAATGAGCTAACCTTTAAATCAATAAATGAACTAAAAACCAGCTCATAAATGAGCTAAATTCCAGCTCAAAATTTATTGAGCTTGTAGACTCGAGGGAGGCTAAAATTGATTTATTTTGGACTTGAGTTGACCCCCCCTTTGTCTGCATCAACAGGCGAGCTCGTCTCACTGTAAACGAGCTCGAGC